CGCAAGCGCGCACGCACGTGTAGGCAGCAGTGCACGCACACTCATTGACATCACTTTCTTTGCGTCAGGCAGTCGGGTGGCATCCATCCCGTTAACCGATGTAGAACATTTCATTCACATGTTTTGTACATGTATAAAAATAGCTTTTCAGAACAAATATGAACATTTGACATTTTAGAAAGAAGGGCAGTGTTTTGAGATGTCAGTTCAGTTGTTGTAAATGAGGGAAGTTGGTACTTAATACATTTCCCCTCCACTGCTTCTGAAACTAGTGTTTAGTACAAGAAAATGCGAGAATCGACGAAAATTGGACTGATACGTCATCGAGACCAACCAGTGTCACTTCAAAGGGTTAGGGTCAAATTGGTTTTTTTTAAATTCTTTTTAAAAGTTTAGCGCCGAAAGCAAGTCACGCAAGGATGATCCGTTAAAAGATATGCCATGCGTCATTTCGCGTTAAGAAAATAAACAGAAGAAAAGAATAGAAACATTCTGATGTGAAAACCTTGAATATTGGACGAAACAAAGTGCGAAGAAAGAAATGACATAATGACCTTTTTTAGGAACAATGCGGATTGCTGCCACTCGGTACAAGACATCACGCAACATTAGTGGTGGATCCAGAGATATTTTCTGATAGTCTTTCAAATTATCTTTGTTGATCCATCCTCCATTTTTGATCGTCTTCCAACAGAACAAATTAGATATCTGTCAATGTAAACTTGAAAATCTGACCGTCTTCTGGAAGACCCAGAAGACGACCTAACCCGCCCCTGTATGCATATTCTGTGTGTTGGCTTGCTGATTGCAAATTTCCTCTCCTTGCACTTTACTTTCTAATTCACAGTATTTCGTTAGATACAGTGCAATACGAACATATCACAATTCGCTGGGGTGCAGTTTCCAATACATGTGCTACCGTGCGAGAATGTGCGTGACTATCAAAGCTGACATGTCTCTTTAAAAAAAAAGACACCTACCGTCACGTGTCCTCGCTGCAGACACCTGTTGTTCCCCAGACACACGTGTCGCAGTGGTCCACCGTCCTTTATCTATCGCCTATCCTTGTGTAGTGCCACTGCCAGCCAGGACGACGTCTTGTTGTCAATACGTATTACACAGTACTACGTTGACAACAACAGCTGGATACTCACACTCCAAACACAGCACAGAGTTGTATATGTATAATATATGCCAGTGACAGGATTCGGTCACCGTAGTTTCTCTGGCTTTAAGAGATATCAAGTCTTTCCGTCATCGACTTGTCACATACATTGTAGCCGTCTACTACATAATTTACTTCCCTTCATTAATGAATTCAGAAGCTAGCAGAGCTGAGTTTGGCACATCTAAACGACTATAATCCTTCGGCAATGGACACAAAAGTGCACGAACGTTGTTTATTGAGTAAATTTAGATCTGTTTGCTGCGACACTCTTAATTTAAACCCAGGCGGCGCAGGATTTGGCTCAAGTATCAGCAACGGTATATATTTACTCACCTCAGCAGTGAATGACTAGCTGTCATTATCAAGGATTCGTTTGAAAATGTTCAATTTGCTCAACAATCTGTATCACAGTGTAAGCACAGTCCTTTTCAAATGTGCTTGAAGACAAATTAGCGTTTTTTTTGTTTTTTTTTTTTTACAACCCAAGCCGTGGGACTGCTAAGCTAAGCGAACTAAGCAATAGATATAGAACAACCTGTAAATTTGATAACGTATTTGACTAGGAGTTTATTTTCTGTCAAAAGGCGGGCTTATGTTACAGTTGACAATAATCCATATTGCATTGCAACAGGTGTACGTGTCATTTCAAATCATCCAGGTAATGTATAAATGGTAGGCAGCTCTTATCTTTTTTTTCTGCGTGTATCAGAAATAAAACGGTTCTACGTGGCACATGAACTCCTTTTGGGTCCATCATTTTGATGAAAACATATAGGTTTATTTTGTTTATGTTGCTTAAACCAAAGAGATAAAAAGAGCTCTTGCTTATAACGGGTGTGATATGAGCGTTTACTTATTAGACCACCCCACACAAGGGACACGTGAGAAAAGAAGCAACCCAAACACTCTTTTCCGTCCTGTTATTTGAGCCTTTCTGTCCCCGCCATGAGTGAGTGTAATTCGACCATCTGAAACGTGTTTGTGCTGGTGTAAAAAGTTTTATCTTACGTCCTCACAATCGTCTCACAAATGAAAATTTCCTTGTTTAATATATATCCAATTTACTTTTTTGATATTACCTGTACCATGTTTGTACATCAATGTCTAGACAGCGTTGTCCAAATTCATTTTAATCTTAATCTCAAAAAAACGTTTCTTCGTCACCAACACCTTGGTTGAACTATACTGTTCCTAAGCCGTAAGATTAAAACATTCCCTTGGCCTGCAACGTTCACTTTTATTTCTGCAAAGTCACACTGCAGCATATAATATGGAATTCTGATTTATCTCGTCGTGGCGTTTTTAAACAACTTCGGCTGCCTAAACTAAAAGATGTAATCTTGACGTGCGTCTTCCAATCTCCCCTCTTGCTGAAATATTCCGTGTGTTTTTAAGGCTTAACAACATGTATCATTATAGATCTCATTTCTACGCGTTGGCCCTATTGTATATTTGCCTCCCCCCCCCCCCCCACC